TTGTAGGATTATTTATTGGCCTAATTTCAATATTATTGTATCTCAGGGAACAGGGAGGCCCAAGGAGGAGCAGGATGGGGATTGACAGGTTTGTGGAGCAGTGAGACACACACAACATTTATTTTGCTGTCTTACATGGGTGTGGTTTGTGGTGCCCCAAAGCCATTAAAATAGTAGCATCAAAGATCACTGATCTCAGATCACCATAACAGATAGAATAATAATGCAAAAATTTGTAGTGTTGCAAGAATTTCCAGTATGTGCTGGAGAGACACGGAGTGAGCACATGTTGTTGGCAAAGTGGTAAGAGGAAACAGAGGATGCCTGCACTTTTATCACTGTGGAGCATACATACCATTTAAAGAAACTTCATGCATAGTGTTTCATTTCCCAGTAGGTCAGGTCAGTGTGTGGTTAGAGGATCAGCAAGAAGAAGTAAAACATTTTTGGGGGGAGGAGAATTTTGATATTTGAAAAACAAGTGTTATATTAGTGAGCAAGGGGAAAAAATCAGAACCTCATTGGACTTTTCTTCAATTTTGGTTTAGCATTTACACATGTGCATGCCCTCACATGCACACAGACACCAGCACATATTTAAAATGTTTCCTAGGGAATAGGGTGGGGAAAGGAGAGTAGTACAGCATGGCAATCCTTAAGCCCTGTGAAGATCTTCATCTAGCCCTGTTGATGATTAATTTTTTTGTGTGTAAAGCAAGTAACCTTCTTTAGTTTATATAACCATCCTTGGTTGTTTTTGGAGGATAAATAAGATGTTTAAAAAATAAAATACGTAACTCACAGTGAACTACACGTCTGTTGGTTGAACTTGATGAAATGTAAGACTAGCAGCTTCCTCTAGCCGCAGAGTGGCTTTTTGAGCAGTTAACATGCAGGTGAATTCTGTACTAGGCGAGTTAAGTTTGTTTAAGGTGTCTTCACCACACCATGGTTGTACATGCTTCATAAATGTTTTCATTGAGTGGCAGTTGTGTTCTTTCAGGCTGCCTCTGGATAAGTCCATTTTTTTTCTAATGTTTCTCATGTTGAATTTACTATGATGCTTTCTTAAATTTAAAATTCTTTGAAAATTGTGTGTTTTTTTGTGTGTGTTTAGCGAAGAAAGGCAGACTAATAAAGAATCAGTGGCCTCATCTTGTAGTTTTCATCAGAATCGCTTGTGTAAGCTTTTTAATAAATTGCCTGGATCTCCACTATCAACCTATTAAATCAGAATCTCCTCGTATATAGGCTGCTCCCAGCGAATTCTGAATATCTGTGATTATCAGTCTCTGGGTCCTCGATCAGTGGTTCTCTCCAGTGTGGCTGGTCCCTGGACCTGCAATGTCATCATTACCTGTGATCTTGTATAAATTTCAGGCTCCTGTTCCACTCACCCGTGTCCCTCGACCTACTGAATCCGGAACTCCTGGGTGGAGCATCAGGCTGTGTTTAACAAGTCCTCCCATGGCTTTTGTTTGTTTTTGAGACAGAGTCTTGCACTGTCACCCGGGCTGTAGTGCAGTGGCACGATCTCAGCTCACTACAACCTCCACCTCCCAGGTTCAAGCGATTCTCCTGCCTCAGCCTCCCAAGTAGCTGGGATACAGGCACCCGCTACCACGCCTGTCTATTTGTTGTATTTTTAGTAGAGATGGGGTTTCACTATATCGGCTGGTCTCGAACACCTGACCTTGTTTGTGATCCACCCACCTTGGGATTACAGGCCTGAGACACCGAGCCCGGCCCACTGGGCTTCTGTTGTCCATGAAAGCGTGAGATGCACTGCCTTAGATCATTTTAAAGGTCCCATCGCCTGCAAATGCTTGTTCTGTCCTGACTACTAAAAGCTTTCAGGACATTGCTTTGTTGCCCACTCTTCAGCATTTTATCCTTCTTTATCCAGCTCTTTTACTTTAAACTTTCATTTTAATGTCCTTATAGAATTAATGTCTTTTGTTGTAAACCTTCTCAAATACTTTGTGGCAGAAGCAATGTGTTAATCTGAAATGACGAATAAAAAGCCCTTTTTCCTGTTGTGTTATGTTTCTTACTATTGGTCAGTTTTTTGATGATCAGCAACTGTGGAATTACTAACCTTGTTTATGGGTAAGAAGCTAAAGGAAGGCTGTCCTCCTGGTTTGGTTCTGGAATTGACATGATGCTTGAGACAGAGGAGTCATGTTTCATGTGGGATAGTTGGAGAGATGGCCACCATTTTCTCTTGTCATCCTAGCTAATGTCACTCTCAGCAAATAGCTCTGGCAGAGTGGCTCCTTTAAGTCCAGTGCAGTGTGAACGAGCCAGGCAAGATGAGGAATTAGGGCTCTCTCGGCTCACTGTAAGAAACCTCCTTTTTGGCTCTCAGATGGTTTCCCAAGCTATCAAAATAGTATCATTTGCAGGCACTCTTCATGGCTGAAAGGAGCAACTTGGAGAGGAAGAGGAATACTCTGCAAACCCTGGGAGAAATGTTTTACAGCTGGGCAGTGCACATAAATGCCAACTGAATGCCCTTTCATTTGTGTAGCTCACCATTGGGGCTCAGCAGTAGAAGAGCCACTCAACAGAAATGAAGAATACCTCACAGAGCATTTGTACTTGTAAACCAACTTTTCTTTGTGGCCCGCAAACAGCAATGTGTAAGACATTGTGTTACAATACTCAAGTAAATCTTGCAGTGCTGAAGGGTTGGGAGGCCGCCTGCTGCTCATTAGAGATCCTGCCTGGCTCTTTTCCTGCAGAATGAGTGGTAGATTGCTGACACCTGCTTTCCCATTCAGGCTGAGGATGTGAATTGTGCATTAGGAATGTCTGAAAGTGTTTCCTTGTGTCCAAGTTGGTAGAGCTTGGTACTACCTTGGAAGAAGGGGGTGAAAATTCAGTGCTGGAAGGGGAGATGAAAAAAATTAGTGGTGAGAGACAAATATATACTGAGATTTTCATCCTCATTTAGTGATTTCTGGTTGCATTCTTCCTTGTCCTCTGATTTGGTCACTTTGAAGTCAAAAGATTTGTCCTATACATAGGAAACCCCAAATATTTCTCAAATTAAGACCATGAGCATATTAAAAATAGGATGGAGATAAATTTGGTTATAAGAGCATTACCAAGTTATCTTGAAATAAATTTGCCTTAAATATGTAATATTCAAGTGTGTTGGTATGATCGGTGTCTTTGCACACTTACACCTGTCTATCTGCTTTGCCTGTCTTTACCTGCCATAGAATCTTTCAAAAAACTGTGGCAGAAGGTGGAATACAGGGGCTAATGTGCTGCCTTTAGTCACAGATAAAAATTGCCTCTCGTATGCAATGCATTTTGCTGAGTACGAGGATTACGAGAAGCACAAGACAGACCCCTAATTTCTCAAGTGCTGGCAGTCTACAGAGTATATGGGGAGAAAAGACACATCAGAGGCAGTGCAATACTGTCGTACCTCTAGCAAGAAAACAGAGGATACTTCTGCTGTATTTCAGTGGTTTTGGAGAAGGTAGAGAACTGAGTTGGGTGGGTCAAAGAGAATGTGGAACTTTCTAGGTATTAAAGGATAAGGAGAATTCAGAGAGAGTAAGAGGTTAGGGTATGTGTGTGACACTCTTTCCCGGCCTCTAATAGGATGTAGAATTAAAGAGAATTTACAAAAAAAAAAAAAAAAAAAAAAAAAAAAAGAATGGCAGCATTTTCCCTTGATTCATTTGGACCTGTCTGGGTATTGTTGTGAATATTGGCCTCCATTTGTGAACTGTGGATCAAAAGGATTAGGGTTGGGTCATGGCCTTGGACCACAGTGAAATTAACTGGCTCATAATGTGATTGAATGAGTAACCTTAGCCACATTGCTACTGTGCTTTAACCAGTTGAGTCGATCAAACAGTATAGAAAGGGTAATCAAGGTATCTCTTAGAAAGAGACCTGTGTTTCTCTAATGACCAGTGATGATGAGCTTTTTTTTTCATATGTTTGTTGACTGTAGAATTTTTTTCTTTTGAAATGCAAATCAAAACCACAATGAGATACCATCACATACCAGTTAAAATGGTGATCATAAGTCAGGAAACAACAGATGCTGAAAAGGATGTGGAGAAATAGGAACACTTTGCACTGTTGGTGGAAGTGTAAATTAGTTCAACCATGTGGAAGACAGTGTGGTGATTCCTCAGGGATCTAGAACCAGAAATACCATTTGACCCAGCAATCCCATTACCGGATAAATATCCAAAGGATTATAAATCATTCTGTTATAAAGACACATGCACACATATGTTTATTGCAGCACTGTTCACAATAGCAAAGACTTGGAACTAACCCAAATGCCCATCAGTGATAGACCGGATAAAGAAAATGTAGCACATACGCCATGGAATACTATGCAACCATAAAAAAGGATGAATTCATGTCCTTTTCAGGGACACGGATGAAGCTGAAAACCATGATTCTCAGCAAACTAACACCAAGCCGAATACCACATGTTCTCACTCATAAGAGGGAGTTGAACAATGAGAACACGTGGACACAGGAGGAGAACATTACACACTGGGGCCTGTTGGGGGATAGGGGTTGGGGAGAGATAGCATTAGGAAAAATACCCAATGTAGGTGACAGGTTCATGGATGCTGCAAACCACCGTGGCACATGTATACACCTACATAACAAACCTGCACGTTCTGCACATGTATCCCAAAACTTAAAGTATGATTTAAAAAAAGAGAGATACCTGTATAGCAGTAAACATAGGAGCGAAATCAAAGCCAGGCCCTTTTCTCATGTAACACCCAGGTGTTTATCTCTTCATTCCTGAGTTTTTATACTTGTTTCTGCATGTAATAAAAATAAGGTAGGGACAACAAAAGATAACATGACTCTCCTGTGTTAGTACTTTGACATAATGAAATTCATCATCGTTTTTGAAGAGGCTGCTTTGAGCAACGATACTGTTTTCAACTTTAGATGTGTGGTGTCCTGTACATTTATTGATGGTGCCTCTTTCTTCTTTAAAGTCTGAACAACCCAGTCCTGCCAGCTCCAGCTCCAGCTCCAGCTCCAGCTTCACACCATCTCAGACCAGGCAACAAGGTATCAACATCTCCTGCAAACTAGGAGATGCTTTTCTCATAAAACATCTTAATGGGTTGATATATCACCTATCTTCTACTGTTTTATTATTTGAATCATAAGTTGGCTTTTATGCAGTTATATTTATTTCCCTTAGGAATACAATTGAGTATTGTTCTGATGTATGAAGCAAGGCTCTGGAAATTTCCCTTTCTCCAGTCCCTGCCATCAGATTCTCATTGCTGCCAAAGGGTTATAGACACAGCCCATTCCAGGGAGTTCCCAAAGGAAGTACAATAGCAAAAGCTGTATTTAAAAAGCTTTGACATAGGGGAATAGGTTTTCGATTTTCCTCCTGCATTTTTTTCCTACATATTAATAGTCTTTCTTAAGGAAATGCTAATTGGCTAGCTTTTGTTTTTCTCTACTCATGGTCAAGTGTTAACTTGAACTCAGAATAAAGAAATTTAAACTAGAATATTTAATCATATTTTCCATTTTTGTGTATGTGGAAAATCTTCAAATGTGTACTGTTTTTACATGAAAAATGCGTAGATATCAAAGTAGAATTTGTGTTTTCACGTAGTATTGAACATTGCCTTTTTCATTGACCGCACTGAATTCCGGATGGCCTTGAATGTTTTGAAAAGGATTAAATTGTTATGTGTGTTTGAACTAAGGCTAAGCTCCAGGAAAAAATCAAATAAAAGACAGTGACCATTTTGGCTATTCAGACGTCTTGTTTCACTCACTTCCAAAGAAATAAACCCACTACAAAAGCAGAAAAATTTGGATTTTGCAGACAGAGAGATTGTAGAGAGTCAAGATAGTAATATCTCACATATCTCTGTCATAGATTAGACTTTAAGAATGGTCCAATCCAGAATGAAAGTGCCTCTCTTTCTTCATTGTCTTTATAGCCTCTTCTGTTAAAATTAAAATGATCTATTTTTCTTCACATTTAGACTAGTAAAGTGGAAATAAGCCACACGAATGAGTTTGTGTTTGTGTGTGTTTTCCTCTCTGTCCTGCCCTAGAATAAAATTCGACTTTGATTTTTTTTTTCTTTTTCCTATCTGATACTGGATACTATCTTGATTTTTCTGGGTACCTGATTTATTACGTGATCTTATTTATCTTTACACAAGCTGGTATTTTGCCAGCAATTTCTTAAAAAGTGAAATGAAAATTGGCTGCTTAACATTGCTGCGTTAAGACCTTGTGTCCAAGATCAATATGAAGATCAGAGGTAGGATATTACACCATGGAATTGAAATACTTTATAATCTGAACTTGACCGAAATGCTTGCTTGACCTGAAATTGACCTTGAAATAAAAGGAACAGCTAAACCTTAATAGATCAAAAACTACCACACAAAGGCTGCATTGCCAAGAACAAGTTACAGCCACAGTGATTTATTAATCTCAACTTTTCAATACATGGATTAACCTAACAAAACATACTAATAGATCTTTCTTTTTCTTTTTAGGTATAATTTTTCTTAGGGAAGAAAAGTACACAGAAAAATTTTCCTAGAAAATAGAGATTCTTCAATGAACAGTTTGGGAATCTATTATGAAAACAGTAGTGTTTTGGCAGAGATTGAGTTTTAGAAACTATCCCAAATTTGCCTTGTAAATTGTATAAATATATATGATGATTATTGTTAACCAATGTTCAGGCTAGTAGGCATTCCCCTCTTTCTAAAATGGCTGAGTGTGTTTGAGTGTATGTTTGATAGCCTGTGGTTCACTGTCATTACTCAGGTCCTTTAAGGTCTATCATGAAAGATCTGCATTCCGATGACAATGAGGACGAATCAGACGAAGTGGAGGATAATGACAATGACTCTGAAATGGAGAGACCTGTAAATAGAGGAGGCAGCCGAAGTCGCAGGTGAGTGTCTGGGAAGGAAAGAGGTTGCCTGTGATGAAATCAGACTCGCACTAGCCTACTGGTATAATCACAGTGAAGGTGTGAAACACCAAAAACGGCGGTAGATGGTCACATTTGTTTGATCCTGGGGCACCTTGGCTTGCCTACATTGGCTTTACAAGGAACCATTTCCCCTTTTTCTCAGAAAGAGGCTTTTCCTCTAAAAATTTTATAGGAAAAAGTCATATTAGAAGCCCTTCCTTGGATGCCAAGTGGCGGGACTGACCATTGAACTAAAATCTGTTTTCATTGGAAGAGTTTGTGTAGATCTACTGCTGGAGATGGTCTCAGAATTGGAAGAAATGTGTTTGCTGTTTGTAGTTAGAAATAGATAATTGGCTCTAGTGAATTACGTGTGTGACCTAATTAAAACTAGGATCACCTGTGTGTTTTCCAGAAAATAAATTCCTTTTAAGTGTGCTGACAATTAGGTGCCTTAAGTAGCTTTAATGCTCTGAGGCATAATTCCACATTATAAGATGGTAATTCATGTCACTTATAATTAATAGTCAAATTGAAATTGCCCTGAGGATTTTATTTCTTTATCATGAGGAAAACAAATAGGCATGCTCACTTTAATTTGTCTTGGGTGGAAAAAATACAAATCTACTTGAACTTAAAATCCAATTACATTTATAATATATTGCATTAAATCTTTTCCTGTTATCCGTTACTATGTAGAAGACCCTGAGATTTAAGAAAATGCAATCTTAACCCAAACTGGGGAGAACATATGTTTCCTAATTGCCTATACTTTGGTGTTCTCTGAAAAGAGCCTCCTTAGGGTATGTGGCCTAACAGATATCTCAATGACGATTTCCTAAAGTCTCCGTCTATTCAAGACGGTTTCTTACGGTCGTATTTAACACCTCTTTCTCTCCTTGTCTCTCAAACTTCGCTGTCAGCATTCCTTTTAAATCGGAGAACATAACCTCTTTATTATGACATTGGCTTATAACATTCCCTTTAGAAGTCTTTTGTCTGATAAAAAAGGAAACTGGCAGGGGAAAAAAGACCTGAAAATGAACTGAAACTTAAAGTAACTTACTTATATCAACCAAAATCCTGACCACTGGCTGCTCTCAAATTTAGTTAATGAAAATGTATGACCTATTTAGATGATTTTCCACATTGTTATTTAGAAGACCTGGATATTCTCTGATTAGCTTTTGCCCACCTACTTACTGCTCCAATCCCTGAGTTGATGTGGTCATCATGCAGGTTTGTGAGTCATTTGATGGAGATAGACATTGTTGGGGCTGCTTTTCTTGTTCCCTGCCTGACATGCGCTGTGTTAGCATGACGGCGCCAGTGTAACATTTGATCTTCACTGCACTTGTGAAGTCTCAACTGTTTAATCAGTTTAAATACTCAGCCTTCCACTTCACTCAAGAAGTGTTTCAAAACAGCGCTTCAACTGAACACTTCATTAATGTAATTTAGTTACGAAAAACAAGTTCTATCAGTTTTTGCTAAAAGGATGTCCCAGGGTATCCTTTTTCATTTCCTATCTTGTATCTTGTCTCTCTGAATGTTAGAGAGCTAGAATGTGATTGCCTATTCAGAGTGAAAGAAAAGCTATCCTGATTTCTAAAACAGTTTCTGTTTCTGAGAAGCATATCACATTAGGTGCTATATAACCAGAGAGGGGGAGCAAACACTGAGGGAAGACTACATTCAGCACAGTCAAATAAAGAAATCGCTCCTATTCTGGATAAAAGAAAGTTCCATTTTCTTCTGAAAAGAAAAAATGGGGAGGAGGTGATGTTTATTGCCTTTACTTGTTTAATTTTTAAAAGATGTCACTGTAGTTATCTTTTTTAAAGAACACTTCAAATAAATTTATTCAAAATGAAAACAAAACTCGGATATTAATATCAGGTACTAAGAAAGCAAGGCTAATAGCAAAATAATAAAATTAAAACTGATGAAGATATTTTAAAGTCATGAATTAAAAATTCTTGGTAGAGTTAAGACACACAGAATTACATTAATATTTATAAACTGCAGATAGATTTGAGATTGAGTTTCTAAAAATAATGGAGGAAAATGTAGAGAATATTTTGTTGCTTAGAATGTAAAGTACTGTACTTTTTAGGCATGACTCGAAAACCAGATCAAAGTATATATTTAATCTACTAATGAAAGAAGTTTACGTTTTATAAGAATACAACGAAATTGTTCACATCTCTGGTGAGCAAAGATTCAAATGTTTGAAATTAAATTATACTTATGAGAAATTAAATTCTATTTATGAGTGCAGGGAAATGGGAACCTATATATTGTTGCGATATTATAAGTGGTGGCAACTTTTTGGAAGACAATTTCGCAGTATTTGACTTAGCATTTTCTCTGCTTGTAATTGACGCTACTGTGATGGTCACCAATGGTATGCTGAAAAATGTCCTCCTGACATATCCACAGCCTAACCCTGAAACCATGAATATTAATTCATTTAGTAAAAGGGACTTTGCAAATACATTTACATTAAAGGATCTTGAGATGGGGGATTATTGTGGAATATCTAGATGGGTCCTAAATTTAATGAGAATTTAACATGTAGGCAGAAGGAGATTTGGGCTTTATCCCTGGGAGGCAAGGCTGGTTCAACATATGCAAATCAATAAATGTAATCCATCATATAAACAGAACCAGTGACAAAAACTACACGATTATCTCAATAGATGCAGAAAAGGTCTTCGATAAAATTCAACAGCCCTTCATGCTAAAAACTCAATAACCTAGGTAATGATGGAACATCTCTCAAAATAATCAGAGCTATTTATGGCAAACCTACAGCCAGTATCATACTGAATGGTCAAAAGCTGGCAAGCATTCCCTTTGAAAACTGGCACAAGACAAGGATGCCCTCTCTCACCACTCCTATTCAACATAGTATTGGAAGTTCTGACCAGGGCAATCAGGCAAGAGAAAGAAAGAAATGTATTCAATTAGGAAAGGAGGAAGTCAAATTGTCTGTTTGTAGATGACATTGTTGTATAGTTAGAAAACTGCATTGTTTCAGCCCAAAATCTCCTTAAGCTGATAAGCAACTTCAGCAAAGTCTCAGGAATATAAAAATCATTGTACAGAAATCACAAGCATGCCTATACACCAAAAATAGACAAACAGAGAAACCAATCATGAGTGAACTCCCATTCACAATTGCTACAAGGAGAACAAAATACCTAAGAATACAACTTAGAAGAGATGTGAAGGACCTCTTCAAGGAGAACTACAAACCACTGCTTAAGGAAATAAGAGAGGACACAAACAAATGAAAAAACATTCCATGCTCATGATTAGAAATAATCAGTATTGTGAAAATGGCCATCCTGCCCAAAGTAACTTATAGATTCAATGCTGTTCCCTTCAAGCTACCACTGGCTTTCTTTACAAAATTAGAAAAAATGATTTAAATTTCCTATGGAACCAAAAAAGAGCCCACATAGCAAGACAATCCTAAGCAAAAAGAACGAAGCCGGAGGCATCATGCTACCTGACTTCAAACTATACTACAAGGCTACAGTAATCAAAACAGCATGGTACTGGTACCAAAACAGATATATAGACCAATGGAACAGAACAGAGGCCTCAGAAATAATGCCACACAGCTACAACCATCTGATCTTTCACAAACCTGACAAAAACAAGCAATGGGGAAGGATTCTCTATTTAATAAATGGTGTTGGGAAAACTGGCTAGCCATGTGCAGAAAACTGAAACTGGACCTCTTTCTTACACCTTATACAAAAATTAACTCAAGATGGATTAAAGATTTAAGCCTAAGACCTAAAACCATAAAAACCCTAGAAGAAAACCTAGGCAGTACCATTCAAGACATAGGCATGGGCAAAGACTTCATGACTAAAACACCAAAAGCAATGGCAATAAAAGGCAAAATTGACTAATGGGATCTAATTAAACTAAAGAGCTTCTGCACAGCAAGAGAAACTGTCATCAGAGTGAATGGGCAATGAACAGAAAGGGAGAAAAATTTTGCAATCTATCCATCTGACAAAGGACTAATATCCAGAATCTACAAGGAACTTAAATAGATTTACCAGAGAAAAACCACCCCGTTAAAAAGTGGGCAAAGGATATGAACAGACATTTCTCAAAGGAAGACATTTATGTGGCCAATAAACATGAAAAAATGCTCATCATCATTGGTCATTAGAGAAATGCAAATCAAAACCACAATGAGATACCATCTCACACCAGTTAGAATGGTGATCATTAAAAAGCCAGGAGACAGCAGATGCTGGAGAGGATGTGGAGAAATAGGAATGCTTTTACACTGTTGGTAGGAGTGTAAATGAGTTAAACCATTGTGGAAGACAGTGTGGCAGTTCTTGAGGATCTAGAACCAGAAATCCTATTTCACCCAGCAATCCCATACTGGGTATATACCGAAAGGATTATAAATCATTCTACTATAAAGACACATGTACATGTATGTTTATTGCAGCACTGTTCACAATAGCAAAGACTTGAAACAACCCAAATGCCCGTCAGTGACAGACTGGATAAAGAAAATGTGGTTCATATACACCATGGAATACTATATGACCATAAGAAAGGATGAGCGATGTCATTTTCTGGGACATAAATGAAGCTGAAAACCATCATTCTCAGCAAACTAACACAGGAATAGAAAACCAAACACTTCATGCTCTCACTCCTAAGTGGGAATTGAACAATTAAAACAAATGGACACAGGAGGGGAACATCATACACCAGGGCCTGTCAGGGGGTGGGAGGATAGAGGAGGGATAGCATTAGAGAAATACCTAATGTAGATGATGGGTTGATGGATGCAGGAAACCACCATGGCAAGTGTATAGCTACGTAACAAACCTGCCCATACTGCACATGTATCCCAGAACTTGAAGTATAATAATAAAGAAATCGAACTGCTACTATAAACTAGAAAAGCAAAGAAAATATTGTAAACAACATTCTTGCAAACATTGGACAATAGGCTCTGTAAGGGCTGTGATCTCTGAGGAAAGGAAAATCAGTAAGTCCGTAATGGCTCTGGTGCGCTGGTTGGAGGTAGGTTCCAAGACATAGTGCAGGAAGGAAGAACTTAAAGGGAAGTCTGAAAGTGCTGCTAGGTTACAGAGTCAGAGATTGTAGGTCTAGTTTGAGTAAGAGGAAGCAGTAAAGAGAATTTTGGAGATCTGTAGAGGTATCCTTCACATTTCTGGCAAAGTATGCGTCTGCATATCCATGGTGGAAACCTCCACAGGGCTAGGAAAAGAATAATCAAAAACCAGCAGGCCATTCAATTCCCAAAGCTCACACATGGTTTAGAGAGACTATGTCTTCATCAGCCAGGAAGAAAAGATACCTTAATACATGGAACATCAGTTACAATACTTAGATTTTGTTTCCTGGGAGAGTTTATGTGGAGCTGGTATTAGACTTTAAGTATGTGACAAAATTAATCAGTGAAACCATCTTCAACTTATACAAGGAATTTTCTTTAGGGAAAGGTTTTTGTTGTTTATTATAATTTCAGTTGCCTTAATAGATACAGTGTTGCTCAGGGAATATATTTCTTCAGGAGAGAGATTTGATGATTTTGATTTTTTTTAGGGAATTGATTCATTTCATCTGAGTTGAATTTATGGTGATAAATTTGTTCCTAATATTCCCTTTTATTCACTTAATATCAGTATATTCTGTTGTACTGTTATCTCTGTCACTTCTAATATTGGTAAGCTGTGTCTTATAACTTTTGTTTTTTGCTACTCAGTCTGAGTCGAGTTTTCTGAATTTCAGCTGATCTCAAGAAGCCAGCTTTTGATTTCACTGATTTTCTGTTCATTTATTTTCTCTTGATAGACATCTAGTTTGTGATGGATTTTTCTTAATTTAGAAAAATGCTTAATAAGAAAAGTTTTGCTTTTCTATGTTTAAGGTTTCAGATGATGTATTAATTTCCTAATGGGGCTGTAACAGATTATCACAAATTTAGTAGTTAAAAAAAAAAAAGAAAATTATTCTCTTATCGTTCTGGAGGCCAGAAGTTCGAACAAAGTCTTATGGGGCTGGAATTAAGATACCAGCAGAACGTTGGCAGGGAGCTCCATTGTTTGCTTATTTCAGGTTCTGGAAGTCCTCACACTCCTAGACTCAAGGCTGTATCACTCCAACTCTGCCTCCATAATCACATTGTAGTTTTCTAAAGCATGTATCCCAAACATACCGTTTCTTTGTGTTCCTGTAGCGTATTTCCAATGAATTGTTGTATCAGTGTTCAGAACTAGAGACAGCCTTGAATAATGGCACAGCAGAAATGATCGGTAGTGGTCCCAGCATGCCAGGCTCCACACGTTCGTTCCTTAGATGTCGCTCTGTGCTGTCAGTGGTGCACAGCTGTTTTCCACGTTCTTCATGAAGTTTCGTTTATGCAGTTGCTTCTTCCCCTGCAGCCTGTATTCTAGCCATGTTTGTGACTTTTTCGTCTGTAGCAGATTGGTAGGCGGAAAGGAAAATAAAGACAGTAACCTTCAAACGGTCTAATTTGCTGTCCTTCTGTAAAGTATAGTGGCTGAGCACTAACTTTGGGCCACATTGCTGGTATTTGAATTCCAGAGCCACCACTTTTACCTATGTGACCCTAGGTGAGTGGCCCAGTCTTTCTAAGTCTCAGTTTACTCATCTGTGAAATAGGAGATATTGAAAAAGAGAAATGGCAGGTATAGCATTTAACACAGTTCCGGGTACAAAGTAAGCCCCAAACATGTTAGCGGTAGTGAGTTAAAATGAACTTGTCAAGGATATTGAATGGATTCCATGCTTTCCGCACCAATTCCTATGGATATTTCAAGAATCATCTGCTTGTAATGATCTGGATAACTTGTCTCTATTTCTTTTCAGAGTTAGCTTAAGTGATGGCAGTGATAGCGAAAGCAGTTCTGCGTCTTCACCCCTGCATCATGAACCTCCACCGCCCTTATTAAAAACCAACAACAACCAGGTAAATTGTGGGGTTTGCACTTGTCGAGACTCTGCAGAGCTAGGTTAATCATTTTTACAAAGCATGTGAAACTTTTCACCCCTGAATTTTAAACAAACTTCTCTTGATGCCAGATAGATGGGAAGCCACAGCTTTTGGAATAAACATGTAGTTAGGATAAAAGAGCTTCTGTTGTCATGAGAAGATGAGTGTGTTCCACTGGATGGGTTAAGTAGGTGCAATAAGAGAGCATGACAAAATGTATTGCCCATTTACTCCTGGTTTCAATATACTTTACACCTCAGCAGTAAGTAGGTGCCTTAATTAGGAAGAATACGACCTTTGAGGCTAGTATAAAGCCCGGTTCTTTCCTACTGGTAATGTACTGGTGGGAAATTGACTTTTAGCTTTTGATTCTCAGTTTCCTTATCTGTTAAATGACATTGATGCTACCTTTTAGGTTATTGGGAAGATGACAAATAATATACCTAAAGAGTAAAAAGCAGTACCCAGCCCCGACTGGTACTCACTTGATGATGGTTCATTATGATAGGTGGTCGACCTCAGATTTCTCGTCCAAGAAAAACGGATTATTACTTGGGATTTTAAGGAATAATTAATAAAATGCTGACAACATAATGGTCATTATCATGTTGTTACAACTTGAGCTAAAGGAAAGTATATTAATTTGATAGTCAACTAAAATATAATTATTTTATTTGGATAAGACCTAGGCAGAACTTTGAAGGCTAGGATAAAGAGCATTTGTTAAATAAATTAGATTGGGATATTTTCTTTACCAACTAAAATAAACTATTTTCAGTATCATGAACAATGTAAAAGCCTCACTGAGCATTGAGTTGATGCTCTTACTACCGTAGTTTTTCTTATCTTTTTGTTTCAACAGATTTCCTATGACCTCTACAATAAATGCTTAATTCAAGTTATTACACGAATATTAACTTGAAAACTCAACTGTGTTTTTCTGAAAATACTATGTTTCACAGGTGTCCTTCAATTTTAAATGGTCTTGCCCTTAAATTTGTGGTCTTTGTGTTACTTGGAAAATGTTAGTTTATAGCTGAAGACCATTTCTTTTTGCATTTTATTTAAAGCACTTACAAAGATCTCTTATGGTATAAAATTCCTCATTTATAAGGTTTGTCTATAATGCCAATCCATTCTTGTTAAGCAGGAATGGTAATAGTGCTCTTTAGAGTTAGAGTTCAACTGCAGTTTCTTTGTGTCCTACATAAAAATCGAAGTCCAGCTCATTATCTGTTACAGATGGGGTATTCAGTGACTTATTTACTTCTTTTTCCATATCCCGGCTCTTCCCCATCTTCAGGGCCAGCCATGTTTTACCTCTGGTGTGGATGCCTGCCACCACAAGTCAGGCATTTCAGAGGAAAGTAAAAAGAGGAAGGATATATGCATCATGGCCAGTCATCTGAGAACACTGGACTGGTTAACTAGATAATTTGGGATCCTTTCGTAAATTTGTGCTTCAGTGAGAACTGGCATTAGGACAGAATTTGTACCTTGATGATATTTTAAAATCCAACTTAAGCCTGTTTCGGCTTGATTTCTGCATCTAGGGGGTGGTGTATCCGAGCTACAATACATCATGGGCACAGCGGTGGCAGTGCCAGGAGGGAAGGGCATTAGGCTCTGCTTTTGTGCCCCTTTCTAATTTCCTTCAGTATCTCTCCTAGTCACAGTGAAGAGTAGGCTTGCTAGGGAATGCAGCTCCAGCAAGCTCCTTTTATGCCCTTCAAACTTTGTGGCTGCCCTTAAGCCCTTCCTGAATAGGCAGTCTTGAACTGACCTTGGCTTTAGGGAAAGGTTTAGACTCTTTGTCAGACTATTTTTCACCTGTCTAGCAAAATAAAACCAAAACGGATAGCATCTATGGGGAGAGGGTAAAAGTGACCTTATCTGATTAAGTAGCATACCCCTGGTTCTTTGGCATGTTTATTTGGCAAATGCCGCTTCACACTTGTGAATCATCAGTCTGCCAGTAATACTCTATTATGTGTCACTTTCTCCATGCACCTGTAAGCATGATAAGAAAGTCCATGTGTTTCTACTTTCAGGTAGTTTGGGTTAGGAAATACATGTGCCACAAGAGAGGTTACCTCCTTAGTACTATGTCTCGGAGCTGAGAGGACAAGAAAAGGTTTTTAAAACTTTGTTTAGTGTTGATTTCTTAGCCCCCTCAAGTCACTTGCATTGGGATCAGGTGTGGTACTATCCCGGCCGGGCGCAGTGGCTCAAGCCTGTAATCCCAGCACTTTGGGAGGCCGAGGCAGGTGGATCACGAGGTCAAGAGATCGAGACCAACGTGGTCAACACGGTGAAACCCCATCTCTACTAAAAATACAAAAAATTAGCTGGGCATGGTGGCACGTGCCTGTAATCCCAGCTACTCAGGAGGCTGAGGCAGGAGAATTGCCTGAACCCAGGAGGCGGAGGATGCGGTGAGCCGAGATCGCGCCATTGCACTCCAGCCTGGGTAACAAGAGCGAAACTCCGTCTCAAAAAAAAAAAAAAAAAAAAGAAAAAAGAAAAAAGAAAAAAGTCAAGCTTCTTGGACTTAAAAAAGTTATTAGTATATCTTAGTTCTCTATGTTGATGGTGTAAGAGAGTAAACATTTTTTTAAAAAAGCAATTAAATTTTACTCTGGAATGACTTTTTAGTCATATTTGAATGTGTGTGTAAGTGTGCAGGAGGGAGGGAGTAAAGTAGTGGGAGAGAGACAGGGATGGAGAGAGAGTATGAATCTGAATTTTCACATTAAAGAATTGAGAATGTACTTAGAAGGACTAACTCCAAAATGGGAAGACTCTGAGTTTCCTTCTTCCATACTCCTTGCCCGTTCTCTCTCTATGAATTAATAATGATCTCTGAGTGTGGTTAAGTACCAGGCAAAGCTGAATTGTCCACTCCCTTTTCTCAGATTTTCCAGGGACTAGAGAAGAGGGGAAGTACTAATGGAGTCAAACATTTTCATACTGAATAAAAGTGAACGTAGACTCACACATCAAACAAGCAAGTAATTAACCTGAGTACTGTTGGGAGCCACTGTCATTAGCGTGAAAGATCTATCTGTGCATAACTGAGTTGTCAGTCTTCATAAAGGGATACAGAAAAATATAATCTTGAAAGTTTGTCAAGACATTCCTCAGATTAAAGACAGAAGTGCTACTAAACCACAATTCCTCTGTTTTCAGATACTACTGTATCTGTACATGGAGTAGCTGGGCAGTCTAGGTGGCTTTGCTTCTCAGTACAGTTTAAAAGGGAATAATAAAGAGTGTTGCATCATTTTAACCAGAGATGGTTTTTTTCACTCCAAACCTCCTTTATGTGACTTTCAAACAAAAGCAAAATACATCTTTTTTAGCCAAAAGCATGGTGGGGAGGGAGGGGAGAAAGGACTTGAAGGAAGGAAGTGATCCACTGGACACAAGTCAATATTCAGAGTATCATAAATCACCTATCAGCCTGCAAGGCATGTTGAATGAAATTAAAAAGCGTCTATCCAGTTAAACTGGTTTAAAATAAGCCTGTGGAAGACAAGGTGTTGTACTTTTTTATTCTGAAGTTGTTTCCCTAAAGATAAGAAATGATCATAAATAAAACAATTGTCTTCAGCAGGGCTGAGCTCTCTCAGAATGAGGTTTTGACAAAGCTGTTTATTTTGGAGCAGGGAGAGATCAAAGAAGGAAGATTAACTGAGCCCTCTCTGGGCAGCCACTCAGTAACTTGAGGCGGGTCACTGACACCCGGAGCTTTTGTTCCTGCCACTGCAGCTTCAGAAGAAAGAAACTAGGATTTCAATGTATTTTGGCCTTCTGTGCTGTAGCACTTACGGAATGTGTGGGGTGAGACTTAAGCGTCCAAATGTTCTATTTTCTGCTTTGAAGAAAATGTGGCAGAACTCTCTAAACCTAGTTAGCAAAGTTCTATTGCAAATGCAGCGTCCTCAAGTCACTTCAACAGCCAGAGTGCAGGGAGTTGGAGGAGGGGATCGTGGGAGGCAGCAGGATATGATGGGAACAAAATTCAGTTCTGTAATGCACAAGGCAAGCAGGCAGGCACTTTTTTTTTTTCTTTTTTGCCTGAAATCTCAGCAGATTGTCTCTGCATGCCCAGCCCAGTAACTGAGTTGGCGAGGAGTGCCATCTACTGACCTACTTACTCCTAGGTCTCAGCGCTGATTTTTCCCTTGAGGTCTCACTTCCAACAACAATGGAGGAAGAAACTCTAAATGCAGTGGAGTATTTGGTTTCCCTTACAGTGGAGCATGTTAAAAATGATCGCCTTGCCTCTGCTAACAAGTAATTTCCTTGTGTTGCCAAAAGTATTGTCTTTTAAGTTAGCCTGGCCAAATTAGTCATTTGGTTATCTTCATATTAAAAGCAATGAAAAAAGTATGATTCTCAGGAAAGACTGTTAGAAGGACACTTTTTCCCTGTGCATTATTCTCAATTAAAATAAACACATGCCCTTTGAGGAGTATTTGGTCTTTTCCAGGATGTCATGTTCCTATTTTCATCCAGTAAAATGTTCATTAGTAGTAAAAAATGTTAAAGCTGAGTGGGAATCTGGGTGTTAACTTGTTCAGCTCTGCCATTTCATCCTTTGCAGTCCAGAAACATTAAATGATAAGGCTGGGATTTGAACTTGGGCTTCTGAGCCTAATCGGTGCTCATGCCACTACAGATTAAAAGTGGACTCATTCTTAAAATCTTTATGTTATTGAATGTGGTAGACTTGTGGACAGAACTGTTACTCCATTAGGGCAGAGACTAGGTAAAGAGAACAGTAGGAATATAAAACTTCTTAAGATAAACTAGTCCTTTATTTGGAATTTTCCTCCTTTAATATTAGTCTCCGTTTGTAGTAACTCACTTCATAATGAGTTATAATGAAAAAGACAAATTTCTTTGCTTTTTATGTTCATACACATTTGTAAACACTCATTATTTATAAATTTAGTGGTTCTCAGCTTTTTCAAGTGAGAGTCATTTAAAAATGCTTCTCTTTTAATCCCCAGTTTTGAAGATGCTGTCAAAGAAATCAGCTGCATTTATTAAGAAATAATTTTCTTCTCCTTTTTATTAAGTAGAAACATAGTTTCCCACCAAAGCTTCTATATAATATGTAAAACTACTCATAACTTAAGTTGTAATCAGTCCAGATAAAAGGAAAGGCACTTAGTGTTTTACCAAGGGTAAACACATCATTTCTTAAAAGACAGAAGTTAGTTCTATCTCTTTATTTCTTGAGTTGGAGGATCCCAAATTGGGAGCAACCAGTATAACTCATGGCCATCTTCATTTCCAAAGCTACATCAGTTTAGCATATATGAGTAATTTTTAGAATGTGAAAGTTAGGTACTAAAAGGGGCATTTGAGTATTTGTTTTCATCATCCCTAGCATACTGAACACTAGTAGTCATGCTGAAACAGCAGAATGAATAGGAAAAATATTCTTGCCAGAGAGAACTATAATCTCAGTTTAACTCAGCTGCTATACATATGGTGAGAGTCTTGCTGCAAAAGAGAAGCAGCCTTGGAAGCTTAGATCAGTTTCCTTATCATCAACTTTTTTTTTTTAGTTCCACTCCTCTGACTCAGCATTTCAGATCCAAGTAACTTATTTTCCAAGGAAAATAAGATTAGAGAGAAGAAGGAAAATGTACGGAAAAGAAATGCTAGTTGGATAGTAAATGCTACTGTACATTTCATTCAGTGAGTGCCTTTGTTTATGTGGCTAGTTAGCTAAGAGATGCTTGAAATAAAATTTAACACAGTGTTCTCTTTGATCTCTAGATTCTTGAAGTGAAAAGTCCAATAAAGCAAAGCAAATCAGATAAGCAAATAAAGAATGGTGAATGTGACAAGGTAGGTTTCCAGTCTGTTACTAGGAGGACTTCAACACTGACAAGTCTGTTTCTTTCTGTTCCCCTTGATCATCCTTGCTGGTTCTCGTTTCATTTTTTCATCAAAGTGTCCAAGACGCCTAAATGATGAGTATTTCATCCCAGTGCTTTGTAGTTTATTTTGCATGTCTTGTTTATGTCTTCAGTGTTACGCTTGGCCTCATGCTGTCATTTGCCATCATTCCTACGTTACCAAGGGATTTCAGGCACATTGAATTGGGAAGTAAGAGAATTGTGTAGAGGTAGCAGGTTAAGGAATCTCAGACGTAGGTAAGCAAGACATCTGATACTAGTGCAGTGTGCTTTCCCAGAGTGTGCATCATGCATCTGAAATCTGTCTGCAAGACCTGGTGGGGTTAAGTTACCTGTTTTGGGTAGGGCCCTAATCCTGCTTTGTAAGGCCAGGGCAGACCTCTGTAATGCTTCACAAATCTTTTCATTTGTCTTTATTGCACATGGTGCTGGGGGCACCCATGCAGTTACACTAACAAAGACTCCTGAGTCTGTGCATTTGGAAAGACAGGTGTCTTCTCTGCAGTTTCAGGCGAGAGCTCTTCACAAATCAGATGCTGATTAGTTAGCACTCCCTGTTTTTCATAAGACATTCTTTTTTGTGTCACTTGCGAGCATTGTTTACTAGCAATGTTTGGTATGACCGGAACACCTTTTTAAAACAAAAGCAAAACAAACAAGAAAAACCCCACACCACAAAGTTGCCCTGACTTAATTGGTAATGTACATTGTTGCTTTCATGTTCAAACTTAGAAGTTTTTCTCTTAGAAACCTTCTGAGATTCAGGAGTGAAAAAAATGAAAGTAGCTTTTGATATGTTTAAACTCACGACTTAGCACTGAATTTCCCTACCTGTTGTAGAGATATTGTTGGAGGAAAGTGAGTCTACTGACTTGAATCTTCATAAGAACAATTAAGTCTAAGAATTCTCTCCAACTTTTTAAAGTTGGCGTGATAAAGGTGATGGCTGGTCCAAGAGAGGCTTGGTCTGCAGAGGCCTTTGGGCACTGAGTCCACACAGCCTGGGCCAGAGTGGTATAATGCGAAACCTGCAGCTGCTGCCTATGTATTCTTCCTTACATACTCATTTATTTTTGAACTACTTCTTAAAGTGCTTGTTCTTTTGGGGGACCTTCTTCTCTTTCAGGCATACCTAGATGAACTGGTAGAGCTTCACAGAAGGTTAATGACGCTGAGAGAAAGACACATTCTGCAGCAGGTGAGAAATGCTTTTTAGCCCAACCCTTTTCAGAAACGTCAAGGCCTGGTTTGTCCTGCGGTAGTGTGATAGCACCTGGAGGCCACTGCAGCCCCACACCATCAAAACCTGGCGAATGCCACCTGTAGACGTATTTGGGAAGGGTTCTCATTTCTGATGCCACCTGAAAGTCTGCTTTGGAGCTCTGTGGCGACTATCTCCCTCCTCTTGTGCTGTGGATGATGAGAACTGGGCAGTTTGGGAAGTGATACTGGATTGTAGTGATTCCTCAGCTGACCAGTGTAATGTGGGCTAAGGGAGGGGACAGTAGAAATGCAAAAACCTTTGGGGCCAGACTTCTGGTTTCATGGGAAAATAATGATAACAATTTGAGTTAAGTGTTGTAAACGTTTGTGATTCAATTTAGTAACCTTCAATACTATTCTAAGGAAAATAAATATTTTCTTCATTTTCCTTATCTTGTACAATGTACATTCTATTATGAACTCAATTGTGGAATACTTGTAGAGTGGGGAAACTTCTATTAGTACAATTTGATTTTTTGAGAAGATAAGAAGGGTGGTTTTTCATTTTCATCCAGTTAGCGATGTATGCCTCTGTTGCATTTCCAGCAGCTATTGATAATTTTCTTTTAACACCCAAAGAGGAGAATGTGTGTTCTAAATTGTGGGGCAGATATGTAGATTGTTTTACTGTTTGAATTTTTTCTTTTTACTACTTTCAAATGACTTGAAGTTAGTATGTAATCTACCCCAGCTGTGTGTTGGGTTTTTTTTTGTTGTTTTGTTTTGTTTTGTTTTTTTAACATTTAATGGCTGGTGGTCACATTTATATTCTGTGTACATTTTTGCTTAAATCTATAAATATGCACTCTCCAACTTGCCAAGTTTCCTGATTGGCCTGATAAGCTTTTTAACCCTTCTAGAGTTTTAGATTTGAACAAAAGACTACAGACCTATGATTCTTAACTACAGATGAGTTTATTTCTTGCAGTTTCTTTTTAGTTAGTAGGGGCAAGGAAGCAGGACTTGAGTGGCCTACCATAAGTGGTGGTCTAGTACTTTGCTAATATTCTTCTTAGGCCTCTTTTGAAGAACCAAATGTTGTTTTACTGTCATTTACCAAATATCTGAGGCTAACTGACTTAATGCTAATTGCAAATCTATTGTGTAATCTTTCCATCTCTTCCAAACACCAGCTCTGAACCACTGCGGAGCAATTGTCCAATAAAGCTATTAATGCCTGAGCTGGGTCCATAGTAATCTCACAGGAGGGTGGGACAGGTGTTTGTGCAGGGTTGGGTCATCTTCACAAAGAAAGCTCAGTCAGTGATTCAAGGATACTAGGCCATTGGGCAGATCTTACCTTGGGGTGTCATTGGCATTTCCAATTTAAAGTTGTCCTTTATTTTTACCTTTGAAAGAATTGTGAAGAAAGGTGGCTTACTGGAGAATTCCATCCAAGTGCATTATTTTAGTATTCTAGAGGGAGAGAGTAATATCTATGAATTTTTAACCTGGCATAAAGGCACTCCAGGGCACACAGCATTTCACCCTAATTGCATTCCCAGGCCGGTTGAAAGCTCTCAGTCTTTGGCCTTTTGCCTTGTAATGCAGCTGAGGCTTGTGATTATGATACCATGATGCATGTCCTGTCACGGTTTACTGCTTAATTAATTCCTTTTGTAAAACATAGCACTATTGAGGACTAATGTTATTCTCCACCTTCAGGGCTGCTCATCTCATGGCATGCATTCCACAAAGTCTATGTATTCTTTGCCGTGCAGACTTAAATACCTGAAGCAGAATTTCTAGTGGGCCCAGGATCACATCTCGGTCCTTCCCTGTTAAATGCATCCTATCCAAAACTCTGGTCTGACAGTTTTATTTGGCTCACAAAAAGCGGTTAATAGCCTTGTTTTACTCTGGGGGCATGCAGTCCTGGCACTCAGCAGCTAGTTTAATGAACAGACAGCATTGGATCAAGGAGCCTGTGTTCCTAAGCCACTTTTTCAAAGGGTATAAATACAGTAGAGTAGACACAGTCAAACCAAGAGAAGTGATTACCTAGGACTGATGAATAATTTGATTTCTCTTTAAAACCACATGTTCCACATTCACTTGGAAAGTAAGATTGAACACATCTAACCTCCCCAGCAATGGAGCTCTAAGCCGGGATTTGCACCCAAGTCTGGGAGAAGAAAACTCTGTGGGAAACCAGGTTTCCTTAGAGGATACCTTAGCAATTTAGAAACCAGCTATCATTCTTTTAGAATTGTCTTCAGGGAATGGGGAATGCACAGCATATTAGAATATTCCTTCTAAGAACCCAGAGAACCCTCCCTGAGAAGTTTTCTGCTCTAAATGCTATTCTCCATCCTGGAAAATTACTTGTCATATCTCAACAGCCCTTGTAGATTGGAGCCTGATGGCCTGCCCCTTAACCAAGGGATGGGCACACATTTTTATGTGGTGGTGTACAGTGCTTTCCAGACCATAATAGAGGCCATTCTGTGGGAAGACCTGTGTTATCCCAGACCTGGCTCCACTTCATACAGAAGCAGTTAAAGCAAAGCCTGTTCATTCTTTCCCACAGTGAAGAGGCTGCTTCACATGAAAAAAGCCCTGGTTTTTGAAAGTATAATCATACTAAAATCAATGCATCCACTTTTTTATAGTTAAAAATTGGAGAAGAGAGCCACAGATCTGACAAGTGGATCTTACCCTGTTTAAAACAAAATGAGGCATCCAACAGGCTGCATAGAACCCCTTGAAAGGCTGATGTGGCAGGAAATAATCCATCATGAATGTTTTCACAACAACCATCATCTGAAGAATGACTTAAGCAGTTAACACTCTTCCTTTTCCACTACCCATATGTACCCGGTTGCCTGTTTTACTTATCGGCAGTCATTCTATCTATTATTATTATTTTGGACAGACGTTAATTATTGCATTATGATACAGAGAGTGACATCAAGGTTAAGCCACACTGCATCAGCAATGAGCGTATTCCCATAGAAAGGCAGAGTGGAGTTCTTCAGGCCCTCATGGCGTGTGCTCAGGCTTTGTGGCTTGTGTCATTGGAATAAAGCATGTTAATGTTGTTTCTGATGCTCTAACTATCGGGATTCCTGGAAAGGAATGCACACTTATTTTTCTTTATGCAGCCCTTACTTAATTGAGAATTGGGCACATGCTCTAATAATTCAAATCATTAATGCGGTTCCCTTTGGCAAATAGTTCCCAACTCCTCAGCTGCTGCCACTGCTACTGCATTAAGGCTGTTTCTCTGCATCTACCTTGATATATTCTTATGGGCTCCCATAAAAATGTGGGGCTCATTTAGTTAGATTTATCAGAGCCCCTTTATATTGTGCATGTATGGCTGCAGGCAGGGCACGGCATGCTGATAGAGGAGGTGGGGGTGGTGATGGAGGTGCTGGAGATCTGCAAGATAGTACAACACATGAGAAATGCCCGGGCCGAAGTTCCTAGTGGGAAAAAGTGTTTATATGCTTTAAAATTAAGTGGCTTTTTTTCCAGAAGGGATTTTTTTATTGCCCAGTTTTCTATTTGCTGTTAAATAATTAGGGAGCAACTATATTGGGTCATGGAAAACTGTTTTCTTATAAGAATGAATTATCTTTTTTTAATTCAAGCAGGCCTTTCTGAGTTTTAGTTTCTGGCATTTTCTTGCCTCATTTATTTTAGTGCTAATGAAATGACTAACACTCATTGGGGCCGGGAGGAAAAAGTATCAGGTCTATAATTCATGCTCAGTTTAGTTACCTCCCAGATAATTAAGGAGCAGTTTATAAGGTAATCATAATCATGTTATCCTGACCTATGTAGCAATTTACCATTTATAAGAAGCTTTACTTATGATACCTTGTTTGATCATCTGTCCAAACTTGTACAAGTAGAACAGGTAGCATTACTCCCATTTTACAGATGAGAAAACCGAGGCTCAAAGGTTATGATATTCTGTCCAATGCCATTGAAAGAGTGAGCAGAGTCAGAATTTGATAAACCAAATACAGAACTCTGTTCTGAATGCTTTGTCAATTACCTCCTGGTTAGCTGGCTGGGGAAAGGAGTTAAATTCTGGTCTGATTGTCATTTGCCTTCATTGTATAAATTTGAAATTCTAATAGCTCTGAAGAGACTACTTGTTTCCATCCTGAAATTTACACATTTTCACTAGATCCATAGTATTTTTACACAAAATGGCAAAAAAAAAAAATTATTCCAGAAAATACATACTCTTAGTTCAATTGATGTTAATTATATAGTAAGTATATGATTAGCATGAAAAGTCTCTGTGTGGGCATAGCTGTGTGTGTGTGGTTCTGTATGTACATAGAATGTGTGGATGACTTGTTGAAAGTTCTATTACTATTAATAAATGAGTGTCCATTTTAGATCTTTTAGTATTAATAATATCTTGTTGGATAAATTTTTTCATAAATGTAGTACTTTAACCATAATTCGGTGCACGCCTTCTAAGAATGTCTTGATGCATGCATGTAACAGAACCTTGAGTCTAGTGGTTTAAGCAAGTAAGGTTTCCTTCTGAATCCCTCCCCACCTGTAACAGTAAGCCTGGATGTAATTAATCCGTGGTTGAGGTAGTGGTTTAAAAGATGGCCCTGAGGACACAGGCTCCTTGTCTTTCTGTTCTCCTATCTTTCATATGTTGTATTCTTCTTCTTAATGGGAAGACAGCTGCTGCACTTCCAAGCATTGTATTTTCATTGCAAACAGGAAGAAGAAAAGAAGGCAAAAGACACATGCCCATTGTCCATACCCTCTTCAAAAATAACCCTGAAAACAGTGAGTTCTGACAAATAAATTTTAAATAGCGGCATCTGACAAGTGCTGCAAGTAGGTCTGGAAGGCAAGCATTGTAGCTGGGAAGCTGTCAGAAAATTGGCCTTCTGTTAATAAAAAAGAAGGAATAAATGGATATTAGGGAGTTAGTTAGCAGCATCTGTCATTGCTTCCACTATGACAGTAGCTTGTTTTATTACTAAGGCCATAGTTACAGCCCTAAAAGATAGTTCCAGAGACTGGGTAAGACAATAACAGCTCAATCTGGAGCTGAGTAGTTAATTGGATTGAGGGTGAATATGTATTTATACTATTGTGGAAGTCAAATAATATGTCAGAAATGGGGAGCACATTTTCTATTAAGAGCCAGCGACCTAGAGGGAGTAGTTCACAAATTTACTGTATTTTTTAAAGGAAAGCTAATCGTAAGAAGAGAAGGTTAAGAGTTTCAGTTCTGCTGTTACTCAACTTGGCATTAGGTAATCCAAAACTTCATTAAATAAATGATAGGCTCAATCATTACAATTGTTCTCTTTTTTAAGATTGACCTAAAACTAATCAGAAGTAAGTGATAGAGAATAATAGACAACTCAGATCTGGTGGAAATTTGCCAGCTGTTTACTCTGCGCAAATATTTTCCTATCGCCCTGATACTAACTTTTCTCCCTCCCCCAAAAAACTTTGTCCCCAACACACCTACTTCACACCCACACTGCTCTGGTACAGCATCCATGTCCAATAAAATTGTTAGTAGAACAGGACTGAAAAGACACTTTGCAAGATAAAAGAATCGCTCAAACTGATAAGCAACATCGTTCTTAATCTTGAGACTTCAGAAGTGTTCTCCTGAAAGCCAGGGCAAGAGAACAGTAATCGTCATCTCTTTCATTTAACATTTTTCTGAAAGTTAGAACCAATACAAGAAGAAATGAGGTATAACTATTCCAAATGACAGGACATAGGCATCCTTTCTTTTTCTAGATAATATTTCTATTTAATTAAATATCTTAAATATTTAAAATCCCCCCAAGATATTCAGGGGAATCAACTAAACACAACTAAAAGTAATATATATGTTTTTATTTTTCTGTTGAAGTATAACAAAGCATACAGAAAGGTGCATTTTCGCCAAGTGGCCATATCTTATGTAACCAGCACCCAAATCGAACAACAAAACGGTTCCAGTACCTTAGAAGGCTCCCTTGAGCCCCTCTGGTCACTACCTATCATCTCAGGGGGTAGGATTGTAGACAGTTTCTTTTTCTTTTTCTTTCTTTTTTTTTTTTTTTTGGGCGGCGGGGGATGAGTTCCTGTATTTTCCAAATTATTAACAATTATATAATGATAAAGGAAAATGATGTTATATAGGTTTGTGTGTGTGTGTGTGTGTGTGTGTGTGTTTGTGCTTAAGTAGTTTTGTTATTTCTAAGGGGGATTTGTTGTGTGTCTGCTATGTATAATCACTGTCTGTAGAGTCAGTAACTAATTTTTAAAGGGTCTTGAAATGTTTTCTCCCCCTAACTACTCACTCACAGTTAAATACTCTGTTCATGACTTGAAAGCAGGAATCAGTTTAAAGGGTATGAAAAGCAATACAGGTTCTCACTGGGAATTTCTAAGGCTTAATATACCTTTGATTTACCAAGTTGACGGAGACAGTTTAATGCTATTCATGGTATGAGACCTTCTTGCTATAAATAAGAATATTTATCCCTTGATTTCATATTTGATCCCCCCTCCATTACTTTCTCTTTGCTTTTTGATGTCTGCTGCTTATTGCCCAAACTTTCTCTTCTTCACTCCTCTAGATCGTGAACCTTATAGAAGAAACTGGACACTTTCATATCACAAACACAACATTTGATTTTGATCTTTGCTCACTGGACAAAACCACAGTCCGTAAACTACAGAGTTACCTGGAAACATCTGGAACATCCTGAGGATACAATAACTGGATGCATCAAAAACTATCTTTTTTTTTTTTTTGGTTGTGATTTTTTCGTTGTTGTTTATATGGAAACACTCAGAATGATGCAACCAAAAGGGAAAAAAATAAAAATCAAACAACCTTCAGCTTTATTTTTCTTTAAAGCCAGTCATCATCTCTTGATAAAGGAGAGGTTAAAGCAAACCAGCCTCAGCGGATCACTCTTCTCTCCAAGGAAATCCCCGGGAAGAGTTAGCCTGGATAGCCTTGAAAACAAACAAATCAAACACAACACAAGAAAACTCAAAGAATGTGTATGGTATCATGTATCTCTCTGTGGTGGTTCATTCCACAGAACAAATGCATATTCAACACACTGCCTTATTACATAACTGATCTATTTATTATCGCATACAGATATTCTAAAGTCGTTGAGGGAATGACACCATCAGACATTCTAAGTACTTGGTCCCGTGGATGCTCTTTCAGTGCAGCGCTCTTGCCATCCCGAGCCCAGTGACCTTACTCGTATACTGTGCCACTTTCCACCAACTTTTTCCAAGTCCTTTAACTTGTTGCAGTCTGTATTTTCCACCTTTCATTTTTCCAGTTCCAGGACACAGATTATCAACTGGGGGGACCAAATAGCCACCTTGATTTTCTTCTTTGTGGTCTTTTTCCTGAAAGTTGGGGCCCAGTCCTTGGCTGTATCCATGTAATGATCTTGGACCATGGTAGAAAATGCACCAAATAGGATCATATGAATTGCTGTCTAGCCTTAGTCAATAAACTTGTAGGACTTTTAAACAAAAGTGTATCTGTAAATGTCCTGAATCCAGCATTGTTGAGCTGTCATCAACATTCTTCTGTCTGTTTTACTGTTACAATATTAGGTGAATATGGAAGTAAAGGCATTCCACAGGATCATCATAAAAAAAAAAAAAAAAGGAATTCTGGTCCTGTTTTCTAAAAAGAAAAGTTGTAGAAATTCTTAATTTGGATCTATTTATTAGTAAGAGTTTCAGCTTTCGTCAGCTGCCAGTGTGTTACTCATCTTTATCCTAAAAACATGGAATCAGAGATTTTTGTTTGTTCATATATGATTCTCTTAGACTTTTTTATATTTGAAAAAATTAAAATCTTTCTTTGGGGGAAAATTCTTGGTTATTATGCCATAACAGATTATGTATTAACTTGTAGATTCCGTGGTTCAATACCTGTTTAGTCGCTTGCTAATGTGTCCAGAAGGATTTCTTGTATTGGTGAAAGATGATTGGGGATGGGGGGATATTTTTGTTCTTGTTATACCCTTGTTTTCAAACTAGAAATCTGTCCTGTGGCATGCAAAAGAAAGCAAATTATTTTTAAAAGAAAAAAAAAAAAGTACTTTTGGCGTCATTATTCCATCTTCTCCATAAGTGGAGAAATGAAAAATAAAAACAGCTCATCTTCCAAGGTTTTCCTAGAAATTCAACTGAAAAGAAGAGCAATGAAGAAATACTTCTGGATCCAAAGGTTCGTCATTGGGTCAGCCTTAAGAAAGTCTCTATGTGTGCTAATAGACCAGTATCTCCCTTATTTGTCCCCATGCCAGATGCTGTCTTTTCATACAGAGATTAACTAGTGTCTGTAGAGAAAATGGTCTTTCCAGACCCATTCTTTTGGGCAGTTCTATAAATGCAGATTGATAATGGAGTTATTTCTGCATTTTAAAAAGGGGATTTTTTTTACACTGTTTCTTTCTATCCAAAGAAACTATTTTTTTCTTTAAAAAAACTATAATCCAGCCATGCTCCTTGTAAATTATTTCTCTGAAGCGTCCTCCCAGAGGCCAAGTGTACTTTCTCGATAATGATATGATTTGTAATGATGATTGGCATGAACCGTACTTGAAGCGTTTGTTGTATAGTCCACTTCTTGATGTGCAGAGAAACTTTGAGTCATTTTGGATGTTAGGTGACTGATGAACTGTGTACTTTCAGTTGTGTTTTGTTTTTAACTTTATAGCTGGAAAGGGGAGGGTAATGTTTATATGGAAATGTTACAAATTCTTTAAATATTTTAAAATTTCAAACTGCTAACTCACACCTTCTGATCAAACCAGAAATTTATATGGTTTAATATAGCTGTGCCGTTTAACTAGAAGCGTATATGTAATTTGGGCCATTTTTATTTCTGTTACTAAATTGTGGGGGCAAAACCTATGATTTGCCAATGTAAAATTGTTTTCCCTTAAGTTACTAACCAAAAAACTAAGAGAAAAAATGGCCAAACAAAAGGGATAATAAGAAGGGCAGCTATCACATGATAAACTTTAGACTTGAAAATTAGGTAGTAAAGTTAATGTCTTCAGAATATCTTAAAATGTAAGTTTGTAAATTGATAAAATTCAGAAAAACCCATCTACTACTCAAGATAGCAAAATAAGTTTTTCACAAAATTCAGAGTGAGAGTCACGTTGATTTTTTTTTTTTTGAAGTACTCTTGCTCTCGTCTAATCTTTAAATACAGAAATAAAAAGATCCCTTTGAATTAATTTCAAGTAGTTATAATACTCCTGTTAAAGTAACCTGCTCAGGCTGCCACATTTATATACACCCAACTTGGAAGCCTATTAAGAGTATCTTTGACACATGAGTACTCTACCAGTGGCTCTGATTTCTTAAGCACAAAGGGAAAACGGCAGGGTTTAATTTCTTTGGTGTACATATATAAATAGATGTTTCAAATAAAATTAATTGGGTGAATGTGAATGTGGTTTGAACCAGCCAGAGTATGATAAACTTTAAAAAATTTTTCCTCAGTGATTAGCTGGGGAAAAATAACATGTACAAAAACCCTGCCCCTCCAACTCCTTATCAATTAGCTTTTGCCTCTGGTTTTGCAGCAGAATGTGTGTTGGTGGGGTTGGGGGTCCTTCTATCTTAGGATATAACGGTCATGTTAGCAACAAAAATATTTTGCAGCTACTTCACGATCCTCATCATAATCTTCCTCTCTCTCAATCTTAACACAGACAAATAGGTATGTCTATACATGCTTTCATATAGTGTCAAAGTAGGGAAGAGCATAAAACCTTCAGGAGACAAAAACTTTAGGAAAAAGTATCTCCTAAGAGAGTGTCCGAAACATTTAAAATTGCTAGGCAAATATCTCTTATCTGAATACTCACCTTTTGGTGGAAAGAGCCAATAAAATGAGTTTTCTTCCACTAAAAATGTCTTCAACCAAAAAGGAATTTTTTTTGCCTGTATCTTTTTTAGACCCACTTAATCTTTAAAAAAGAGAGAGAGAGAGAGAGACAGAGAGAGAGAGAGAGAGAGAAGAAACCAATTTAGGCTTGTATAACATCCCATTTACCACTTCAAGCTCCACAAATGTAGTTAATATACTTGTTTAACAGAGACTTTACTCTTCAATGTTTTAACTCTGCCTACTTAATGGAGTTGGATGTCCAGTGTTGGAAATGGTCAGTGTCTGTTTGGTGGCTCGTGTTCATTTTTGTCACTGTAGAAGTGATCCGCTCTGGAGTAATTTGCTGTATGCTTATTACTTTCCACTTTTAGCGTTTTGTGTACTAATGCTATGTACTGCTCCTATATTTATATATATATACATATATATATACATATATATTATCAGAGTAATCTTGCTTTGGACTGTTGCTCTAAAACTATGACTATGATGTAGAGACTACTACAGCTGCAGTGAATGTTAAGGAGTCGATTCTCATGGTTTAGTTTAGTCTTGGGCTGGAAGTCTACATCTTTTGACCTCTTTTGTTTTCTATGATGCTTTTTTTATGTAGGCTCTGCCATCCCTGAATATTCCTTGTAAAGATGCATTGAAGAAGTCAATTTAAAAGGAAGACAAAGCCACCGCTGTCTGTAAACTGTAAATATGTATTTTGGCACTTGTACTCCAGTATTCTGAAAATAGAGTTATGATGGAAATGCTGACAGATCCTTAATGGTGGCCAGAGCTACCATGCAGTGCAAAAATAAATTAAGTGAAAATGTATTATTGAGATTAACAGTGCAAGACCAATACATTTTTATAAATCTGTCAGTATCTTTTTAATGGACTGTGTATGTGTAGTTATGTTGAAAGATACATTGTGTATGTGTGTACATGCTTCTGTGTAAATTTAAGGCACACTGTAAGATGTATTTCCCTTCTCTAAAATCCATGTTGAAATGTAAGTACAGATTGGTAGAAATAGGTGTTTTACTTAAACTCACATAATCTATTGCAGCACCATTTTAAAAATGTATAATTGTACTGATTTTCTAAGAGTCATTTGACCAAAGTTTGGCTTTATTTTGCATACAGGAAAAAGCCCCTAGCCTTTTCTCAAGAAGTGCTGCTGTTTCTAAAGAAGAATGGATGGGGAGATCTGAGGCCTCCAGAGAAAGGACAGTGTGTCCAAAACCAGCTGAATGCAGAGAGTACACGCCTCATTCATTTTAGGGGTTCATCGTGTCTAGCACCATTCTGTGTCCTAAAGTCAGTATATATATAGTATTTTTTTTTTTTTTAAAGCCCTGCAGAGATGGGAACACGCAGCAGTGGGATACATTCTCGACATAAACTGGGCTATGTGTGTGGACGATATTTTTTTCTTTCTCCCCTCTTTTTTTGGAGGCGTTTGTTTAGAAACAATGTGCTGTAGCCAGAGGGTGGATCTTACAAAGTCCCTGCATTTACTTTCACAGCAGGAACTGCTACCTTGATTAGACAGCAAGGACAACAACCACTACGACAAAGAGAATAAAATACATTCAGTTTGGTAAATAACCAAGGAACTGGGTGTGATGCTCTTACTTAATGGTAAAGAGATTTACATCAAATTTGAGAAACTGACCTTACCTTCATTCAGGCTGACAAGCCATTTAGGGGATTAGAGTGGACTGCTTTGTCTCTTATCAACCCAAAACTGATTGTAGGTATGGAAGTATCAGTCCCAGATGGGCTGGGGTGGCAGTAAGACTTTCTAATGACCGTAATTGGATTGGACTAATCTGTTCCCTTGTTGCGGCATACTCAGTTTTATTTGAAATAATGGCCTTATTCCTTCTCCAGTGTATAGAAAGGGTCAAGGTTAGCCCCTGGCCCTAGTGAGGCACACTCACCCAGGGGTGCAGTGCACCACATAGTATTCCCCAATACATGTGCTCCCTGTCTCTCTAATTTACGACCCCATTTCAATATGCAAGGAAACCGGGAGAGAGATGACAGGTAACCAAGCCTGACCCCCAGACCTCTCTGGTTAGTAATTCATGGAGTCTTCAAAACTAGGGGTCTTGTTTTACTCTGATTAGTGGAGCAACTAAGTGTATTTTATTGGTTTCCTTGCCAGGGATACCACCCAAATAGAAAACACAGAGCACATTCCAAAGCTTCTGCTTTCTCTGCCAGGTAATAGTATCCACACCTTCCTGTTTATGCGGTCCCCTTCTGTAGAGGCATTTCCAATTTTTTCCAGAGGTTGTTAAATTGCCTCTGGCTCTCAGCCTTTTGGTCTTAATTTCCCCTTAATTAAAGAAGGGTAACCAATGTGGTCCCTAGGAGCAAACAAGAGAAATACAGGGCACAAAACAAAAAACACTCTGATGATGATAACTGGGCCCCATGTCTCTTAAATAACAACACAAATAGTCTACCACCTGAATGAGAAGGCTCCCTGAATCCACGTTTACAATTCAGGGTGACTACTGGGGCACTGGGCAATCTGCACGGAATAGGAGGTGCCCACAGGGAGTGGGAGATAGATGGTGAGTAAAGGCAAAGTTATTTGCTCATTTTCCCCTTCTAATCATGTCTCCCACCCCGTGCAGTCCCCACCACAGAGCTCTGAAGCTTCAAAAGGGTAGAAAAGGATAAATCCAGGCCATTAAAAGAAAATAATCAAAGCTATTGAAAAGATAAAACAAATGAGTCTCACTAAAAGGGCCGTCTGTGCAAGTAATAAGGTTGAAATACTGATACTGATTTCCTAGCCGAACAGCATTCCTCACACATGTGGTTTGTGTATCCGTGTCTGGGTGGGTGGTCTGGTGAGAAGTGCTAAACGCAGCAAGATGGCTTAGTTTTTGAGCAGTGGAGGGAAGCTTTGGGACAGGCTCAGCCCGTGGCATCTATAGTCCGTGCAACATAAAGAGGCTTTCCTTTTGCTTTGTTCCAGGATGGAAAGTTTTAACTTGGCTTATTCATTTAAATGTGAGTTTCTATTCTGCAGAGAACCAATCAAAGGGTAGGGGTGTGTGTGTGTGTGTGTGTGTGTGTGTGTGTGTGTTTAAGAACTTTCTTGTCTCTCGCCCCAGCCCTAGGGGATGGGATGTGTGGCACAGAATGTAATAACTCTCCATTTGTTGGAATGTATTTTCTGGGTGCTAAGCACCTATTAACATCTCTTTTGAAAGTGACGCTGTTTTAAATAACACCTCACTCCAGCTAGGACAGGAAATAGCATTAAATTAGAGATACATGTGAATACGGTCCACAAGCCAGCCAAATAAAGGTGGACTCCCCCAAAAGCACATTTATACTAATGAGAATGCCAAATGAAGCACACTCAGCTCAAAGGGGGAGACTTGTTAAGGGAAGCTTCTTTCATTCAGGAAACACGAAGCCCAGCGATGGCTTTTGAGAGACACAGATCATTGTCAACTCACATCTGAAGACAGGTTGCTTCATGAATATCCCTCAGAATTGTTAGATGTTGGGAGTTTTGTTTTGACTTTGAATCAATTGGGGGATAAATCACTGTTTTCCAAATTACAGTATTTATTTGTGTCTATGTTTGTTACCTGTGTCCCTCACTAGAACAGAAGCTCCCGAGGGTAAGGACTTTGTCAACAGCTGATTGCAGGACCTAGAAAAAATCCAAGACATACAAGACACCTGTATTTGTCAAATGAAAATGTGGGAGCATTTTATGGAACATGAACCTCTTTTGACATTTCATGAAGAATGGTTTTGCGTTTAAGTTTGGAAAAACTTCCCAGCGTATGACCCTCTTGGCAATTCATGGCATGCTAATATATTAAATCTTTGGAGAGCCACATGTTCTAGCAACAATCAAACTTGTTTTAACTTTATTTAATGCAATATTTCTCAAACTGTATGTAAGACAATAGTAGTTATGCAAGACAATAGCTGTTTTGCATTTAAGAAAATGTTTCTCAAAATAGTTTTAAACTATATTTCAATCTTCAAGGTTTACAACATAGTTTGGGTAGCAGAGTTTCAGAGGACAACAGCTATTAATATCTCCAGAAGTGGTTTTCTGGATTAGCTAACCATGTAAATTTTTGGCCAAACTAGAATTTTTAGATAGAGGATTTCTCTGTGTTGCTGGGGCTGTAGTACAGTAGCCATTCACAGGCACGTCATAGCATGGTATGGCCTTGACCTCCTAGGCTTAAGTGAACCTCCCACCTTAGTCTACGAAGTAGTTGGGACTACAGTTACATACCACCATGTCTGGCAAACTGGAACATTTTTGAGAAGGAAATGGGACACTATTAATA